TAAGCAATGCAAAAACTGCTGATAATACTGAGGGACCTTATATATATATGAATTCTTAGATAGGTGTCGTATTCCCATAGGTTGATGGGGATCAGCTGAGAGTCAGCTGATGCGAGCTTGACTAACGTGACCTGCCAGAACTAACGCTACGCTAGATTTGTATGCTGGGGAAGTGGAATTTTTTCAAAGCGTCTTTAGTGGCTAAATTGGGAGGCAGTGTAAGTGAAAAGGAGAACATAAATCTCTCATAACAATTGATGAGTAATGCTCAATCATATTCGCCATAGCTTTACACATTCAGTTCGAAAGAAGCGTGTATGTGTGTTACAAGCTTGAGTGTCTTTGCCTGTTTTAGCCTTAGTCTAGTAAGCAGGCATGCCATAATGGATTATAGGCCTTCAGTTGGGAACCTGCTTAGAAGTGACAGGGGTTAGCGCTCTCCCATAATCCTTTGGGCCTTTGTCTGACTGCTGACAAGTAACTCACCCTGAGCTATGTGAACGTTACTGTCCACAGTATATATAAATATATATACATATATTTGCCAAAGACTTAGTCCAGGCCCTTTTGTCAGGCCTTTACCACTTCACCACATAATGCTGTGTCTGATTAACCCTTCACAAAGACCTGCCCCCGTTCGTTATTGTTGCTATGTCCGACAAGCCATGTCGCTCTCACGCCACACATTATGTTTGCACACAGTGAAAAATACATTGCGGAGCAAAGAGAAAACTGACAACAATCAGGTTACTTTAAGTATGAAACAAAGTCTCAGCTGTCAAATTTTGTCATTTTTTAAAAGAAATTCAAACAGTAAATACCATTTTGTGGCTCTTTAACGTGTTGTGACAGATCACTGTATGGCACGTGAACCGATAATCTCTTCCTCTTTACTATAGCATGAAATAAACATGAATGAACATCAGAAGGTATCTTGTTTCAACCACGGAAGGACTTTAATACACGCTACTTTTCCTGTTCAAGTCCACCAACGGTAATCTACTCGCCTGTCTTTTTTTGACGAGTTTGTTTGACGGGCAAAAATAACAGATTCGGCGTTATGATTGGTCAGATTGTAGAAATCAATTGTAGAGGGTCAATTGTACAAATAATTGAAGACAGAAAATATCAGTGCACCTTTGGAGAACCTAGGCATACAACATAAAAATAAAAAATATTTTAATGTGTGGATCATGATAATATAATAATAATAATAATAATGTTTTAGATTTTTTTGCACCCTCAGATTCCAGATTTTCAAATAGTTGTATCTCAGCCAAATATTGTCCTATCCTAACAAACCATTCATCAATGGAAAGCTTATTTATTCAGCTTTAATTCAACAAAATTGACCCTTATGACTGGTTTTGTGGTCCAGGTCACATATTATTATTATTATTATTAACAATAATTTAATAATAATTTAATTGGATTTCTTAAATATAATAATACAAATAATACTACTACTAATAATAATACATATAATACCGTAGTTGAAGTAGTAATATTTATTAGATATTTATTATTATTGATAAATTTTTTTATGCATTTTTTATTATTATTATCAAGTCTAAAAAAGTACTATATATTATTATTATTATTATTAATATTATTATTATTACTCACATTGATGATAATAATAAATATTTACCTTATCTGCTTGCTGAGATTTGTACATCTCTGCATCTCTGCGGGGGTGGTCTGACCTGTTCGCAAATAGGGGCACCTCTTTTTCTCCTGTTTTGTCCCCTCTGGCAGTCTTATAGGGTTCCAGCAGCCCTGTGTGAAGGCTGTGTGTTATACAGCTATCCAGCCGTCTCTAGACACCCACAGAATGTTCTATTTGGCATCAGCCAGACGCATGCGCTCATGGTCCACTGCCCTCCATCTGCTCATTTACCCAAAATAGAACCATAAAAGTTTTCTACTGAAGGATTTTCATAATTGTTACACAGAGAACTTGAGATGAGAACTGAAATGTGTCTTTTGACAATTTTTGCGGAATATGATATCAGGCTCCATATCTGAATGTGTATGTCTATATTTATGTGTGTAAGATACTCTTAAGTGCTGGGGTGTCTCACAGTGCACACAGCCAGATGGTCACTCCACTCAGGCATCGCTACAGAATGACTCTTCCCATGTCTTTTGCTCCTTCTAAAACACGAAAATTATTTCCAAGAGTAAACAAACCAGCGTGAGTCTCTTCTGCCCTTCTCCTTGCCTTACATTAGTAAGTTCAGATGCTTTATTATGTCAGAAATGGCTCCCCCATAACAGCATTTATGAACTAGAAATGGCTTTCAAAGCTGTTTGCGCTGATGAAAATGCTGTATTTTGTGTTTGACTTTTTATATTTTTCCCTTTTCATACTCCACACAAGGGCCTGAAAAAAAAATTGACTGAATGTGTTGCTTGTCTGCTGGCTGACCTCATTATGTAAGCATCATTAAAGGCTTTCCAGAGGTTTTGTGATTGTGAGGTACATCACACATCCTGCTTGCTGGAGAAGCTGCGGAGTGACCGTTCACCTCAGCTCTTTCTGTAGACCAGGTTAGACGCCATATTGAAATTTATGCTGATAAAAACAAGGCTGTGAGGGGTAAATGTACAGTCTTTAGAATGGCCTGTGCGCTGTATAAGGTCTAGAATCATGTAATTTTCACAAAACACAACAGACGATAGTATCGTGTATCGGCGATAGTCAAGAGATATCGCCTGTGGCTGATGCCTTTGACGATAGCAAGACGATTATTATTATTATTATTATTATCATCAGGCTAGTAATACTATCTAATTAATATTAGGGCTTATTTGTTGCATTATATTTCTTTTTCCGCGTTTTTACAGTATTGCGCGTTCTAACCAATCACACACGTTAATGCTGAGCTTATGAATGCAACGGCCAATCAGATGCGTTCAGATGAGTCATCACTGAAACAGCAGAGTTCTGTTGTTCAGCGCGCGCTGACTGAATTCTGACTCGCGAATTCTCTCCTCATAAACAACAAAGTGCAGATGTACGTGCGATGTAAGT